TCAACCCTAAACCCGATATCCTCAACTCTCAACCCTAAACCCGATATCCTCAACTCTCAACCCTAAACCCGATATCCTCAACTCTCAACCCTAAACCCGATATCCTCAACTCTCAACCCTAAACCCGATATCCTCAACTCTCAACCCTAAACCCGATATCTTCAACTCTCAACCCTAAACCCGATATCCTCAACTCTCAACCCTAAACCCGATATCCTCAACTCTCAACCCTAAACCCGATATCCTCAACTCTCAACCCTAAACCCGATATCCTCAACTCTCAACCCTAAACCCGAATATCCTCAACTCTCAACCCTAAACCCGATATCCTCAACTCTCAACCCTAAACCCGATATCCTCAACTCTCAACCCTAAACCCGATATCCTCAACTCTCAACCCTAAACCCGATATCCTCAACCTCTCAACCTAAACCGATATCTCAACTCTCAACCCTAAACCCGATATATCCTCAACTCTCAACCCTAAACCCGATATCCTCAACTCTCAACCCTAAACCCGATATCCTCTCTCAACCCTAAACCCGATATCCTCAACTCTCACCCCTAAACCCGATATCCTCAACTCTCAACCCTAAACCCGATATCCTCAACTCTCAACCCTAAACCCGATATCCTCAACTCTCAACCCTAAACCCGATATCCTCAACTCTCAACCCTAAACCCGATATCCTCAACTCTCAACCCTAAACCCGATATCCTCAACTCTCAACCCTAAACCCGATATCCTCAACTCTCAACCCTAAACCCGATATCCTCAACTCTCAACCCTAAACCCGATATCCTCAACTCTCAACCCTAAACCCGATATCCTCAACTCTCAACCCTAAACCCGATATCCTCAACTCTCAACCCTAAACCCGATATCCTCAACTCTCAACCCTAAACCCGATATCCTCAACTCTCAACCCTAAACCCGATATCCTCAACTCTCAACCCTAAACCCGATATCCTCAACTCTCAACTCTCAACCCTAAACCCGATATCCTCAACTCTCCCGATATCCTCTAAACCCGATATCCTCAACTCTCAACCCTAAACCCGATATCCTCAACTCTCAACCCTAAACCCGATATCCTCAACTCTCAACCCTAAACCCGATATCCTCAACTCTCAACCCTAAACCCGATATCCTCAACTCTCAACCCTAAACCCGATATCCTCAACTCTCAACCCTAAACCCGATATCCTCAACTCTCAACCCTAAACCCGATATCCTCAACTCTAGGCCCCAAAGCCTCCAGGGGATCCTCGCCCTTAGCGGACCCTCGTGGGGAGAGCGGTGCAGCCACCAGAAGCGCCTCTGCAGGAGAACTTCTGCAAGGGTTCTGTAAGAGCTCCATTGGGGTTCTGTTTGGGTTCTGTAAGGGCTTTATAGGGGTTCTATGAAGGCTCTACAAGAGTTCTAAAGGTTACAAAATCTATATCGGTTCCATACAGGGCTCCGTAAGGGCTCGGTCTCTTCGGCTTTTTTGGGGTCGCACATAAGAATCCTATAATTACGGTCGACACGCTAGGCCGCTAGAAACCTGCATTTTTCTGGGAGTGCAACTACAAGCCTACAAGCCTAGTATAGAAATTTGAAAACGCTATAACCGCAGCAGGTTTCAGCAGGTCACGGTTATGAAGGGGCCATTATACCATATTCATAATAAGGACCCCCCAAAACAGTTTCTAGTCCCTTATATTACACACAAACACCCGGAGCAGGACCTCGCCTCGCACGCGTCAACGAGGTTCTGCCCGGCTCGGTACGAGCGAACCTGCTTGGGCAGGAAGGGCTGCGTGGAATATCACCGACACAGTAAGAGATCAGCCACACATAATGCCAATAGTCGATGAGTTCGTTCATCCTTACCAGTAGACACGTTCAGCTCGATGGGCGAAGAAAGCAAATCGTCAGGCCTCTGATACATTCATATGCTGAAGGCTTTGCTTGTCTTGGAACCCTAAACCTTGAGCATCCCTGAGCCGTGTTCGGGGCTTGTGGATAGGACAGGGTTTGGGGAAAGAACTGTCCTGCTGAGCCTCTGGGCGATGTTTCGCAACTCAAACTCTCATCCGTCCATGCCAAATGCATGGGGAGCCTTGGGGGGGAGGGGGGTAGGGGGCCTAATACCTATAATAAGCACCTGGCCCATTTAAGGAAGTATCCCCTCCCCCCTCCCCCCTACCCCCCTTTAAGGATCCCTAGGATGGTAGCGCCAGGCCTGGAGCACTAAGTCTGCAGTAACCTGGATGATGGAGGCGACCTCAGTCTCTTGGGGGTTCAAGGGCTTGGGGTGTGCGGCTTAGAGTGGGGATGAAGCTTTACCAGGTTGAGTGGGCTGCGCTTCATTGCGTGGTCGCCGCCCTCTTCGTACATTATGCAGCTATCGACGGCCTGCCTCCGAAATTCAATCGAACGCAAAAAAGATTAGTATAATCTAAAGTTCCCATCCTGAACTCATGCAGCTCTCTGGAGAGTCTTATAAGCCTGCCCGCAGTTGTCGACCTGATTCCCCCCGAGTCCATGCTTTGCTTGAATTTCAATTTGCTTGCTGCGAAAGCACCGAAATAAGACCCTCCACAAGGGGATCCATGTTGACAACCAGAATCAAGCAGGGGACACCATGGGTTGCTTTCTAGTTGGTATGTTAGACAGCTGCAGGCTTCTGCAGAGCTGCTGTCACTCTCAACAGTCCTGCGCAGCCTGAGCAAGCACATCACTTTCTGAGAACGAAAAATCTAGATCGAGATCTCTTCTGGGCTGTCATTTCCCACGTCATTCATCCGGAATGCTTGGCTCAGAATCGATCCTGATGGGCCTAAAACTCGCAAACCTGCACCCTCAAAACCGAAGTCCAAAATCTCACGACTCGAACCCCAAAACTCTGGGGTTCCGGCCAGTGCAAAGCCCAGGCAAACGGCCAGCCCTTCAACTTGGACTTGCTTCCGAGCTCGAAACATGGCCTTAGCAAAAGCAACAGAAGGTGGAGCGAGCGAAGGCAGCTGATAAACCGTGAGCGTTTCGGAAAAATAGTGTACCGGCTTTCTAGACGATCCGAACTCCCTAACCTCCGACATTTGGTTGGCTTTAGGTGGGCCTCACGTCCCAGAAAAAAAACCCATCCAAGGTCCCCCAAAACTATCCGAACTATCTAACCTGCGGGGGTTTAGACAATTTCAACAAGTTAACACTCCCCAAACCCAGACCTTATAAAGATACAACTTCGTAGAATTGAGTCTCTCACTGGCGCAAGTTGAAGCTTCCCTTACACTCCAACACCTATTCCTGCCTCATATACTGTCTCCATTTCTTCTTATCGCGCACTCTTCCGACCAGTCTTGCAGAGACTGCACAGTTGCCCTGCAATTTTCTTACCGGCCTTTCCTGGCCAGAAGTGGCACAGGATTTACGAAGGGCGGTGCTACGCCAAGTAGCTGATGATATGCCACACCCGACCCGAACCCTAGAACCAAACTTCTTGGAGTTTCAAGATCTCAGATCTCCCCCGAAAACCGAAGCTCTAAGTACACAGTCACCATTCTGAAATGCCTCAACTTCCAAGCCTGACTTAGGTCAGGCACCATTTGGATCAGGATCAGCATGCCCAATCTTGGTCGCTGTTGGACTCTTGCATTCTCGTGCTACGACTTCTTGATTTCATCTTGTACTCTGCAGTACTACCACACAGACTGCACTTACGGATGCTCCTGTGGTTGTTGCGTCTCTCGCAGCTCTTAAGTCCAAGCTCGAATGCTTGCTTTCGGATGCAGTATGAACGGAGCCCTGCGAGGGCTGTAGATACAGCAGCCTAGGCCGTGAAACTCTCATTCCATGAGTCTGCAATGGCATTGGATCGTCCCGACGCACCTGTCCACAACAGGGTACTGAACCTGAAGGTGCTATCTTCGAGAACAGGAGTCAGCAGGTACATAAAAGTGCTCAACGATAAGGGAGCTGAAAGAAGCCACTCACGTGACTTACATGCTTTCAAACCGCAAACCTGAAGCGTCACAGGCACAGATGACATTTGTCAACACAGGGACCTGGAACATACACCCGAAGGGGTGGCATCCTCAAGGAAAGGAACGGCAAGGAAAAGCCGAAAGCCAAGCTTCTGCGTCTTCCAGGTAATATAGGGGCCTGAATAATTAGAATAGGGCTTTGGGGCCCATTATACTATAACTATACTGAGAAGCCCCCCAAATGGTATTGATAATTATTCATTTAGGCCCCTCTATCATAGTATATACTTTATCATAGTACCCTTATAGATCCCTTATAGTAACCCTTACATAGACCCCTTTAATAAAAGGGAACCCGATTCTGCTTACTAAGGCCCCTAAAGTATGATGGTATCCGCCGAGGCACAAGATGAAATCGCAAACCCAACAGAAGATCTGGAGTCTCATCGGCGAATCCTGGAGGTTTAGGGTTTAGGTTTTTTTTATGTGCAATGACTCTTTCTGCTCCGCAGGGCAGGGCAGGTTGAGCCCGCCACAAGGGCCTACACTGAACAGAAAACGGCACTCAGCTCACTTGATCTGGAGGGTTTAGGATTTAGGGTTTAGGGTACAGAACACATTCGTTTCAGGGCATAGAAGTTCAGGATTTGACAGCCGAAGTGGACAGAACAGCTTTCCCGAAGCCAAGTTTGTCACGTAGCTTCTATCGATGCCGCAAGGCAAAAACAGGTGTTGTGCTTAACTAGGGTTCACTTTGAGATGCCTGGCCCGACAAAAGAGCCGTAAGGTCACAATAACCCTGACGTGGAATACTCCTCAAGCCCTGCAGAACTGCATGGGTCGTGCGGTGACTTCCACATGAAAGTGCGGAAGTGCTGATTGCTCCTGCTCACAACAGGAACCCCTGAAACCCTCACAGCTCCCACAGAAGTAGATCCTGTTAGGCGCTTATAACCTACCTACATAACCCGCATGAATCCGATAAAACCCTGTAGAAACACCTGTTGACACCCACAAACGCCTGTCGGCTCCTGCAGAAAGAGTGACCGCAGCGACCTCTCATCGCGGCCGTGGACGCTCTCAAAGGAGACGCTCGGCACTTCCTGGTCCAGTCACCAAGGTGCGAAGGGTTTCCCTCCGTACACTTCGGAACCTATAGGCTCTTGTGGCCTTGAGGCAGCCGTGATAGCAAAGAACAGGCCAGTGCGTTCCAGCTTGGAGGTGGTTTCAAGCTTTGCTAAAGACTAACGCAGCCCGAACTCGAACTCACAAACCAGAAACCGGAACACCACCTGCGCATCCGGGTGAGGGAAAAGTCGCGGAACCAAAGTCGGAAACAAGGAGGCACGAGTCGGGAAACAAAGCGGCAGGAGTCGGGAACAAGGGGCGCAGCAGTCGGGAGGGTGAAGAGGCAGGAGTCGGGAAACATGCGGGGAAAAAAGGAACGCATGAGCGGCACCATGAGCATCCGGCACCTGATTCGTACTACTACTACTACTACTGCTGCTGCTACTACTACTACTGCTGCTACTACTACTACTACTACTAACACTGCAAATACTACTCATACTACTCATACTACTCATACTGCGTACACTGCTATACTACTCATCTACTCATAATACTACTAATACTACTAATACTACAAATGCTAATGCTAACTATAACTAATACCAATACCAATACGGATACTAATACTAATGTTATCACGACTACAAACACAAACACTGATTCTAATATTAGTACTCATACTCATACGCATACTAAAGCTACCAATACTAGTACTAGAACTAATACGAATACAATACGAATACACATACAGATATCGATGCCAATACCTAGTACTACTAATACTACTAATACTACTAGTACTACTAATACTAGTAATACTACTAATACTACTGATACTACTAATACTACTAATACTACTAAATACTACTGACACTACTAATACTACTGATACTACTGATACTACTGATACTACTAATAATACAACTAATGCTACTAACATTACTAATACTACTAATACTACTAATACTACGAATACTACTAATACTACCAATACTACTAATACTACTAATAGCTATGCGCACCTCCAACTGGTGTTAATCTCTGTTTTTTTTCTGCATTTTTGGGCCTTTTGCTAGGGTGCCGTGGGGGATGGGGTGGGGGAGGGGGGGTTAATAACGACATGGTTGACCGCAAGCAGTAACGCAGTAGCGCCTGTAGCAGTAGCAGTAGTAGGATGCTTGTGACAACGTGTCTTGCTCCACATCCTTGCGCAGCATGTGGTACAAAGAGCAATAAATGCTGCAAATATCGGTGTTTTGGGCATTATCGCCAAAGGCAGTGACATGAACATTATCCTGACCATCTTCATCACCATCTTCATAGCCATCATTTTCGCCATCTTCAACATCATCGTTAACTTGATCATCTTCATCATCATCCTCAGAATCATCATCCTTATCATCATCCTCATAATTCCCACAATCATCAAAATAAGCTCACGCAATTAGTTGGATCGAAGTTGGCTTAACTACAATTTCTAAAGCCTACTAAAAACCCAGCATTTTTGACAATCGGACACTCAAAACTACCAGGGGCCAGGAGGTGCGGAACCCTACTAATACTACTAATACTACTAATACTACTAATACTACTAATACTACTAATACTACTAATACTACTAATACTACTAATACTAGTAATACTACTAATACTACTAATACTACTAATACTACTAATACTACTAATACTACTAGTACTACTAATACTGCGAAAGCTACTCATGCCACAAGTACTACTAAATCTATTGATAGTACAAAGACTAAAACTGCTACTACTACTACTGCTGCTACTACTACTACTACTACTACTACTATTACTAACACTGCAAATACTACTCATACTACCCATACTACTCATACTACTCATACTACGTACACTGCTATACTACTCATCTACTCATAATACTGCTAATGCTACTAATATTACGAATATTACTAATACTAGTGATACTAGTAATACTAGTAATACTAGAAATACTACTAATACTACTAATACTACTAATACTACTAACACTACAAATGCTAATGCTAACTATAACTAATACCAATTCCAATACGGATACTAATACTAGTGTTATCACGACTACAAACACAAACACTGATTCTAATATTAGTGCTCATACTCATACGCATACTAAAGCCACTAATACTAGTACTAGAACTAATACGAATACAATACGAATACACATACAAATACCGATACCAATACACAGACCGCAAGATGCAGATGTTGCATTGACACGATAATGCTATAAACCCCGAACCCTAGAAGACCCATGGTACCCGACATGCTTGATTCCTGACTTTCGCCCCGGTTGTTTCCCGACTCTTGCCTCCTTGTTTCCTGACTGTTGCCTTCTTGTTTCCCGACCCATGGTTCCCGACAATCGCGCATGGTTCCTGAATTAGTCTACTCCCCTGCGCGCATCCGATAAATTCTCACCTTAAGACCTTAAACCTTAAAAACCTAGAACCAGAACCCAAAACCAAACTAACCAGCCCCACTGCTGCCAATTCGACAGAGCCGTGTAGATCCCTCATAGCTAGAGACTCTTGTCGCTCTCATATAGTGACCCATATGGGTGGTTGTCAAAATTATGGTCCCGTTTTGGGTACCCTAAATAGCAGGTGCCGTACTATAAGAGGGACCCCAAAAGGGACCATAATTGTGACAACTACCCAATAGCAACGTTTATCACAAGGAAGAACCTCGCCGATCCCCGAGAGTGACTCGTATAAGCAACCTTTGCAAACGTAGAAACAGCCAAAATCCTCATCACCCCTCATTAAATTAAACCCTCATTACACCTCTCAACCCTAAACCCTTAACCCCGAACCCCACCCTTATTACACCTCTAAACCTAAACTCCTAACCCCTACACCCTCCCTAGACCCCCCAACCACCTTCTAATATACCCCAAATACCCACTATTAAGGGCCGTAAGGGCTTGATTAAAGGGCCCTTGGGGGGTCCGGGTCAAGGCCACTTAATATTTCATTCTTGGCGCCTTCAACTTGGCAGCCAGCGCAGGGCCATCGCGGCCGACCGCCAGGAGCGTGTGGCTGGCAGGGTGTCGGCTGTAGGTTTCTTTTAAAGTGCAATAGCTCTTTCTAGGGTGTAGACTTTAGGCTTTAGGCTTTAGGGTTTAGGGGTTTAGGGGTTTAGGGGTTTAGGGTTTAGAGTTTCGGGGTTTAGGGTGCAGACTTTAGGTTTTAGGGGTCAGGGTTAAGGGTATGGGGTTTGGCTTCAGGGGTTTCGGAGGGCAAAGCAGCAGCAGCGGCAGCTGCACCATGAAGAAAAAAACAGTACAAGGTCTTTCCAGGCCTCCTTCCGTTCGGGCCTCCGTCGCAGGACGAGCAGGTGAGTTCTGTTTCTTTTTTGAAGGTTTATGGGAGGAGGAATCAACACCTAAACTCGAGTCCCGGTCGACAGAGCGAGCAGAACCCCTGATTCAGGCTAAGGGCTTCCCTGCAAATCTTCGGAACGCTTCCTTGGAGGATAGTTACCAAGAAACCCTAAATGCTAAGTCCCATGATCCTTTAAGTATCCTCCACCAAGAAGAGCCTGTCTCCCGCCTCAATGGGCCGAGAGGGGCTAGAAATGGATCCTTACATCCCCGAAAACCGGGGTCCCCTTGTACGGGTACTATATAATATAGAAACACTTCTAGCAAAATTTGAGACTAGGATGCCCAGTAACCTAGGAATAAGAAGGGCTCCTTTTTTTGGTATTGGGTAACATTACAAGGAACCCAGGACTACAAAAAGGGAATACGGGGACCTACTGGGCATCCTCGGAGAAGATAGAACCTGACAAGACCCAAAACACCGACTCCCCTCTCCGACCGCCTGTTCAGGTACTCTGCGGCTTTGCACAGAAATGGCCCCATGACCTTCCACGACATGCGAGTTTCTAAAAATAGGGGGCCCTCAGATAGTAACCTAAAGAGTAGGATCCTTATGACAAGGACCCCAAGATAAGGTACCCCTAAGTTTCGGAAACTCCCACATGGGCTCAGGGGCTCTACACTTCAACCCCTACTGTAAGAACCGTCGCCTTGACTTTGAAGGGGGCTTTGTGTTACGTTATACAGTGGCGGTGTAGTTGCAAAGGAACTTTAAAGGGTGATATGCGGTTTAGGGCTTAGCGGTTTAGGGGTAAACGGTTTAGTTTAGGGCTGAAGGTTTATTTCGACCTCTGGGTTAGGCCCTTGCTGGATTCCAAACAACGAAGACTACAGCGCCAAACCCTGCAAACCGGAACTCTGACTTACACCTGAAAGCCGCGAACCACAAACCTGAGCCTTTGTTTAACTTCAACTCTTTCGACCTCATGACGAATGCACTTGTTTCACTTGACACAACCGCTATACGCGCCAAGCCCGCGGAACATTGAGGGCCCGAAACCCTACACCCTATTTAAACATCTCAACCCTAAACCACAGACCCTGAACAATACTCCTACACCCCAAACCCACCAACCTCCGAACCCAAAAAGCCCACAAGCCCTCTTTCCCTGAACCATAACCTCTGTACCTCACACCATCAGCTCCTGAACCTCATGAACCCGAAACCCGTGGTCTCTGCTTGACTCTTGTTCTTGGCGCTGCTTGGGGCAAGAGGCTGGGATAGGCAACCAGCAGAGCGCCATCAGGCGCCAGGAGGCATCGGACATGGCTCGCCAGGAGACCTTCCACCGGGTACTTAAGGGATCAGGGGAGTTAGTAACCAGGGTTATACTTAGGGTAAGTATACTTACAACCCCAATTAACGTACTTATAGCCTTACTTACTAATTCCCATGATCCTCCAAGTACAGGGTTTAAGGTTTTGGGTTGACGGTTTAAGGTTTATGCTGATGGTTAATTGCTTGGCTTACCGAAAAACCTTCCACGACAGGGCTCTCCGAGGATTTGAAAGGGTGCTTTTTGGACTGCACAACCTACCCTGAAACACCCACTGGAAGGGTGAGGGATCGATGAGAGTACCTTGGGGCATCCCGTTAAACGTGCCCCCCTCAGCTCGGCACTAAGCTGAAGTTCGCGCCCGTGGCGACCTCGCTTCGATCTGCTTGGCGATCCTCCTGGCGGTTGAGGGTTTGGGGTTCCAGGAATGCAGGGTTCTGGGATAGGGTCTATCGTGTCCAGGAGTTTATGTGGGGGTTTCGGATGTCGGGGTTGAGGGTGCTGGGGTCCTAGTTTTTTCTGGCTCTTAAGATTTAGGGTGCAATGAACTTATAACGCGGGCAAGACTCTTTTAATTAATTGAAAGGGCTACCGTGGTTAAGCTTATCTCTGAAACCTCACCGTCACCTTTCCGAACCATCACGCGAAACTGCAAACGGTGTCATACCGAGCCCAAACCCCAAACGCGAACCCGAGATACCGAGACCTGTGATAAAAACCAACAGACGCCAACAGTTCCACCGCCGGCTGAGATCTCACGGGGCCTGAGAAGCCATGGTGGTAGGGTCGCGGGATATACTGAAGTATAACTACATATCTGCAAGTACCAACATATTGATATGCATATTCTACATACATATATATATACATATTTATATTCATATATTCACATGCGCATACATATGCATATCTATCTATATATATATATATATGTACATACATATATATATATAGATAGATGTGTGTATACTTACCTGTATGTGCATATACAAACTAGAACTACGCCTGGCAAGTGGCCAGCCAGCCATCGATGTAGCTACACCATCTTACTAGCTTTAGCCGCCACCTACCCTGTAGCTCGCCTGAAGCTGCGAAACCCATGCATCCTAACCTCCTAGCACCTGCTGCCGACAGATTTGGCATGCCAACCGGAAGTTCTAGAAAACAAGGGCCGCTACTCTAGATCCTTGGCAGCAGGACCCCTCAACACTTACTGCCAGGCTCGCCAAACAGGGACTCTGAGACTTTGAGAAACCCATCCTAAGAAACTCAAAAAGCCCAGAACAACAGCCGCACCTCTCGTGGTGTGCCCTCCATCAGTTCCTGGCGTCCTCGGGCAATGGTCTGGGGCTGAGGGATTGAAGGTGCTTAGGGTGTCAGGCCTAGGGTTTGGGGTTGAAGGTTTGGCGATTAGGGTTCAAGGTTCAGGATTTCAAGCTGAAGCGTTCATGGGCTATGGACGCTTATGGCGTGGTGTCTTTCTAGAAACGGTGTAGGGTTTTCGGGTTTAAGCGCTTTAAGGCCAGGCGGTTCTGGGTTCTGCTCTCTGCCTGCTTCGCCACCATCCTCCAGACTAAACCCTGGACCCAGGCCCAGACGCTAAAGCACCAGCCCTAAACCCTGAAACCACCAGAAAAAACATCACCCGGAGCACTCCGAAGTGTGCACTCGGCTTAGCACCAGATCCAAAGTCCCGAAACCCCAAGCGCACGAAAGCTAAGTGTAGCGTCCTGAGCAGTCTTCCACCTCCACGACCAAGTCATTCCAGACCTTTAGCAATGAACTAGTGCGAAGGGCTCATATTTGAGGATTTCGGGTTTTGAGAGAGTTTGGGCCAAGGGTTCAGAACTGCATCCGCACCGCTACAACATAAGACCGGGTGGTCAGCCTCTACCATGACCCTACTCTGGTAGCATGACATATCTTCAACTTCATGTATCATGGCCCGATGTCGAATGACAAGGTTTCAGTTCAGAGCCTGCGGTTGAGGCTTTAGAGAGCGGGCTTAGAGTGTTTAACACGGTTTAAACATTCGAAATGGAGAAGCGATGCCGACCGATGAGCTGAGGGCTCGAACCCTTCGGCTTCAGGCTTCAGGAAACCACAGTGGCAAAGTGCAAACCGAAAAGCCCCGTCAGCCCCACAACTTCCAGCAGAACTCCGTAGATACAAAGGTATAGATATTGCTGCCTCTGCTTCATACGAAGGGGTAAAAATAAATTAAACAAACGAATATGTAGTCATGAACGAACGAACGGAGGAACAAACAACAAATACACTAAAACCCTTGTGTTTCCTCCTCGAGCAAGTCTGAGTACCAGGCCCCCAGAGTGATTGCAATGCCCGAAAGTGGCCACAGGGATGTGGGCCACCGAATTTCCTGCCAAGTTGCGGCTTCCGCGAGCGGGTTTACAGGGTTTGGGGCGCTTGTAGTCTTTGTCAGCCTCAACACACACGCCTCACTATCTTAAACACCACTTAACACTATACCAGACTATACACTAATACCCTGCAGTACCCTGGATAATACCCTAGTACCCAAACACCCTTAATCTAGGGGCCTGAATAATTAGAACAAGGTTTTGAGGCCTTTTCTAATTATAAGTCGAATACTAATAAGAAGCCCCCCAAAACGGTATTTGACAATTTTTTCGGCCCCTATATTATACTCCGCGGGCCTTCTCACCGCTGACCAGCTTGGGTCTTCGCAAGCTTCGCCAGAGTAGCCGTCCAAGCCATCCTGAGCTTGCAATATCGGGGCCTGAAACATGAGATCAAGGTTTTGGGGTATGTTATGCCATAATCATAATAAGGAAGGAGCCCCCAAAGTGGTAACTATTAGTTTAGGCCCGGTTGGTAGCTCTTTCGGGCTCGTCAAGGGGTCTAGAGGGGTTCTAATTCCAAAACAGTATTGGTAACTATTGAGGCCCCTATATTAGAGAGTTGGGTTCGGTTGTTGCGGCGGCAGTGTCTTGCGGTTTAGCCGGCTCGGTCTTAAACAGTAAAATCCCACCGTAGACCGGAAAGCCCCAACCCCAAACTGTTGCGAACTCGAGGACCTGAAGCCAAATCTCAAGAAGCTGCAGCTTGGGACGCCTGTGCAGATCGCCTACTGTACCCAGCTATCATCATGTGAAGCTTTGGAGTTTCGGGTTTCGGATTTGCGGGTTGCCTAGTGATCTGGGACTCTGGGACATTCCAGCTAGTGGGGCATCGCAAGAAGTTTTTCGACAGACATGTGGGTCGGTGCACTCGACGTTGCAACGATGGTGAAAGTCTCACAAGCATCCAACCAGTACAGAGTGAAGCGATGCGCACCCTGCGGGATGCACAAGATCCAAAAAATATCGGGCTAAACCCCAAACCCCTAAACCCTAAACTTCGAAGGTATTACTCATTACTCACTGGCCCACCCTCACCTGCCTTGCCGCTGCTCCTTTTTGTGACGCTATTTGAAGCCAAGGCCATGAAGGACCGCAAGGGCAGTTCTTCAAACAACAGGTGGGGATATCAGGAGATTGGGGACGACTCCACACCAGTGTGTCCCATGCTCTGAAACTCCCACAACGTGCATATGGCACCGATTTCGGCAAAGGCTTCCCACCGGTTCCTAAACTCCCGGGCAAGCTGAAGATCAACAGCTTTGCCGCCAAATATTTTTTTTAAAAAAGCAATTGATTAGACATGACACAGGCAAGCACCTGCAGCCGAGGGGCTAGAAGGTGCGGCCGACATAAACTTCCGAAAGGGCACGACAAAGAAGAAGACCTCAACTAGCTTCCCCCAAGGTAAGCGGAGTAATGGCAAACGACAAGGACGCCCCTTTTGGGTCAAGCAACATAGTTGGCTGGCCACATGTTCATCTTTTATTCTCGCAACAGACAACATCCATGTATCCGATCTAGAGCGCGAAAGCCGCTACAGCATTCATTCGATCATGCTCATGTAGGTGCAGGATGATGTAACAATAGAGAGCGAGCTTACTAAAATGCAATTGTTACTGCACTGTCTTGCGACCGAATTAAACTGAAACATCTGCCGGAAGAGAGAAACCTAGAGAGAGCGAGAGAGACGGAGAGTGTGTGCATATTTAAACCTGTATTATATCTATGGATATATTATTTACTTATTCATCTATTTGTTGTTTATGTATGAATATAATGCTTATTTCTTCTACATATATATATATATGGAACCCACATTATCCACACATAGTCTGCACACACACACACACACACAACAGGAGTATCATGATTGCCGCGAAGACACCCAGACGATGGCAGGACCATGCTCTGACCAGTCCAGGACGACTCTGAAACAGTACCAATGCTATTTTAGGTGTTCCTTATTATAACTATAGTATAACGGGCCCCGAAACAATAGTCTAATTATTAAGGCCCTGATAATTATAGAACCCTTATGGTCACCCTCATAGACCCCGTTCTGCCACCGCCATGCTTTCGCAGAGACAACTTAGGGGAGCCTGATATAGTACTTATAAAGAGTAGGATTCTCATTATAAGGACCCAGAACAACATACCCCTAATATTCGGAAACTCCTGAAGTCAATTCACGTGAAGCCGCAGTGCCCAAACCAGTGCCAGCCTAAGAGAATTGAGCGGGTTGCGACCGGGCAGCAAAGGACATCACAATGCCGCACACCAGCAGCAGCATGGCCTTTAGAAGCCGGGTAATTCGCTTCAATTATCATACAGTCTGGGAATCCTGCGTGCTAAACATCTCAGAACACTTCTGAGGGCCAGGCCATGACATCCAGCGGAGCATGCCAATAATTCGGGCAAGACCTGAAGCGGTTTGGATCTTTCTGCGCCATTTCCTGCAGGGGTTTGGGACTTGTGGCTTCGTGGACAGCTGAGGGTATAGGAATCAGCGAAAGGGTTTAGGGTTTAGGAACCCTAAACCCTAAACTTAGGGTTTAGGAACCCTTAACCCTAAACCCTAAACCGGCCTTAAAAAGGAAGCCAGGCCTGGCAGCGCTTTGAGCTCGTGATCTCAGGGAAAAACCCACAAGCCTGCTTAAAGGATCATGGGACTTAGTAACTAGGGCTATAAACTAGGGTAACTATACATATAACTACTTGCAACCCCAAGTAAGGCACTTATAACCTTACTTACTAAGTCCCATGATCCTCCAAGTGGATCCCCCCATGTTTTGAGGGCTCCAGGCTTCACATACGGATTCTGCTTGGGGCAGTCCAACCTGGGCCCACAAACGCTAGCAGGAGTGGGAGAATCTAACCACTCACTGCTTCTGGAACCACTCTAAACCAACGAACCAGAAGACAAGGAGACAGGAAGCCCTGAACGTTGAATGATAAATCAGAGTTTCGGAGTGTGCTACAGTATCATTATGAGCGAGCTATAAGAAGATGGTATTTAGTATACTCATTCCGACCTCTGTGTGGGTGTAGGCTGCAGAGTATCATCACTATGAGGGAGCTATACAAGGATTGGATTTGGTATGCTCACTCCGACTTCTATGTGGGTTAAGGATGCAGAGTTTATGGTTTCGGAGTTCGAAGGATTTATCGGCTGCAAAGGCGAAGTCTCTTCGTCGCATAACAGGCCATTCAAGCCCAAGCCCAGAAGCCTAAACCCTAGCTACAACCGGAATTACCACATCCACCACAAACCACAAATCACAAGCCCTAAACCCTAAACATCCCTGAACCTTGACGTCCTAAACCCCAAAGCGCTAAATCCTAAAAATTCGGCCCTTAACCCATCTTGGCTTCCCACTCTGCTGTAAGGTCCGTCGAGCCTTGACCAAAGGGCGCGGGTTGCAAAGTCTAGGGTTTGGGATGTAGATTTTTGAGACTACTGCGGGTGTCAAGTATATGGGGTTCTTGGTTTGCGGTTCAAGCTTGAGGTTCAATGTATGGGGCTCCGAGTACAGGGGCAAAGAAAGGATTGGAGGCCGAAATTCCCAAACGTGAAGCTGTAAGACCTTTGGAAAATAACACACACTTCAAGCCCTCCGGGCTTCAGTTTCTAGGTTGGCTCCTTGCTCTCACACTGCAGGCCCGGTGTGCTCCGCATTGAACATCCCCTAAACCCTAAACCGTGGCTACTATCGGGCCCCGATTCCGGGGTTCCCGAGTTCAGGATGTCGGGCACACATCCCACGCCCCAATTGATCGCACATTCGCCCTGAGCACGACATTTAAAGCATAAGCGCTAAGTCGAGGTGATTCTGATAATTCAAACGGCCACGCAGATCAGTAGTAGTACTCCTGCAGTACAGCATTCGGTTTAGTAAACGCTCCGCTCCACTCTGGGGCTTTGTTTTTTTGACTGGACACTGGACCTCCAACCCTAAATCCTATATACCCTAAACCTCCAACCCTAAACTCTATACCCTAAACCTCCAAACCCAAAACTTCTACTGCTTCCGAGCGATGCACTGACCAGGTAGCCGCAATTTGCATCGAAGATGCCCGAGACCTCCGGGGCCGATACGGTGCTCCATCATAATTTTCATATTACCATACTGTCTTACATGATCCAGCTTATCAGATTTGTCAAGGGGTCAGTATGTCAAGGCCTAAACCTTAAACCCTGAATCCTATATGGTAAGCACTCAATCCCAAGCCCCCCAACTCCTAAACCGGAAACCCGCAGCCTTAAATCCTCTATAATATGACAGGTCAGACGATGCTCCATTGTAATAGTCTATATTACTACACGGTACTACATTATTTGGTCTTATCTTGTCCTATCTTATCACATGATATACTGGACTCTACTCTACTACGCTATACTATAGTTTAGTAAAGTGTTTTTCAACATTTTGTACCGTAATGTAGCATATTTTGATATAGGGCTGTAACATACTACATTATCCGATCTTGTCTTATCTCTCGATAAATCAGGGCGTAGGGCTCGGGTTTCAGGTTGAAGGCTCAGGGTTTTCACTTTAGGACAAGGCGGGGTTTGTGTGTGTGTGTGGGTGGTCAGGAGGCTCTGTGTTTGAAAGCTTTATAGAGCTCAAGTGTACACCTGACGGCTTAGGGTTTTGGGGGGGTATAAGGGTGCTGGGTTTAGGGTTTATAAGGGTTCAGGGTTTAGGGTTTCAGGGCTTTCGGATTCTTGGCAAGTGCAGCGGCACTTCAGGGTTTAGAGTGTGCGGCGTACGGCTTTTCGGTCAAGTCCGGCCCATCTTGGCTGGGTGATGGCAATAGAGAGCGCGTGAGTATGCATACATGGTCATCAAGTTGCAGTGGGCTGGGGTGGCAGGTCGCGGTTCTGTCATGTGGAAAATGGTGTTTTTACAAGTAGCATTGAAATCGATCTCCAATCGTGAAACGTAACCTTAATCCCAAATATTCTCCTGCGCGCTCACTGCAAGTACAACCAAACTAGGCTCAACCCAACTGAAGTCATTTTGGACTCGACAGCACCCAACCCACGACGCACAACAAAACCGCGTTCCGATCATTCGCGATCGAAGCCCTACACCGGAAACAACTTCTACTTCTGAGGACGAAAGACCTCACTTCTCAGCTGCGCCGATGCTGCAACGACCACTTGCAACACGATCCTGGCAGGGTTTTTTGCTCAGAGCTCAATACCGATAACTGACTGACGTGGCCCTACCTCAAACTGAAAAGCCCTGTCTTAGTATACTTGATGGTGTATGGCTGTAAACTCCTTACGCAACGATGCTGCCCTACTGCAATCGCAACATGGGTTGAAAGCAGAGCCTTCTAGACCGATATGCGGTGGACATATAGGGCCACATCAGACCACATCCTGCTGAAGCGGATCCACGAGTCCCTGCGTAATGCTGTCCAGAGGGTCAACCCTCCAAGCGTTCCTTCCTAACCTCCATCATCTCTAAACCTACAACAAGTTGAAAGCCTGCGCCCAAATCTCATACGCCACATTCAACACAAGGCAAGGAGCGGGTGATATGCAGGGGCCTTAATGATTAGTATAGGGCTTTGGGTCTCTGTGATATAATTGATATATTGCCGAGCCCTAGGGCACAAATAGTGGCGTATCCTCGAAAGGTGCTGAAACACTGAAGTTGAAAGGTGCCCGACGTGCATGACGACATGTGCAGGAAGGCCTAAACGGACAAGGAGAAGCATCCCTGATTCACAGAAGCAGTCAACCTCCAGAAAAACCACAGAAGCATTTAGAACCCCCCAGCCTGTAGAGCCCTTAGTTAGCCCTAAGCCCAAACCCCAAGCAAACCCTGATCAACTGAGCCGGCTCTTCAGCACCAGCTGTTGCAACGCCTGTGCCTCGGAGATACGAGGGTTTCGGGTCGCTGCTTGCGAGTTTCTGGGTTCAGGGCCGTTGAGTCCTTGAGGGATCATGGGACTTAGTAACTAGGGCTATGATTAGGGTACCTATACCTATAACCCCAATTGAGGTACTTACAACCTGACTTACTAAATCCCATGATCCTCCAAGTAGAGGCAGCAGCACTAGCATTAGCAGTAGGAGGAGGGCAGTCATATGGGTCCGAGCGGTGCGCGTACCCAAAGTCGGCCACTTGGCAAGGGCGGCCGTGGGGGCCCTAAACACTGAACAATAAACCCCTAAACCCTAAACCGTTGGTTCCACGTTGCAGTCCACCGAGGCCCTGGCGACTGCTGCAATGATCAGGAAAGAAGCAGGCCCACCCTGCAGTGCAAAGGATCTAGGGGTTTAGGGTCCAGCGGCTTCGGGGTTTAATATAGGGGCCTTAATAATTAGAATAGGGTTTTGCGGGCCATTAATAATTACAATAAGGAACCCCCCCAATATAGTGTTTAGAAATTACTAAGGCCCCTATACTAGGGGTTTAGGGTTCAGATTCATGCTGCAGGGGCCGAATCACTCATGCTATTCCTATTCCTGATATTTTTTGTTCTTATTTGTGACTATTAATGTCATCATTATTTGCCCTAAACCCTAAAGGTATATCCTGGGTGTGGCGTATCGAGGCTATCAGCATCCGCGTCATGCTGGGAGAAGCGCTTGGAAGCTCCCAGCTCCGGCAGATCTCTCTCCACGATAATACTAACACCAGTAATAATAGGAAGCATAACAATACTAGTAATAATAACAATTCTAAGAAGAATAACAATAATGGTAATGACGAACAATGGCAATAACAACTGTTTTATATTACTAAACAATGCATAATAATGCTAATCATCATGCTACAGCGGTGCTTGCCGTGGGAGAAGCAGCCACTTGAACGATGCGTTTCCATTCCGGCGGCATGTTGCAGGCCAACAGTCGGGAAAGGAGCTGGATTCTAGTGATTCTAGTGCTCCGATCTATCAGGCGAAGGTGATGGTAAGTAAGAGTTTACGGGCTCAAGGTGCACAGCAGACAGCAGCACACCCTTGCTTGAAGTTTTGCAAGAGAAACGCCACCCTAAATCCTCTGACCGATAACTGGGGCGCGCACCGCCGCGGCAGCACGGGAAATTGCCACGTCCTGTGCCACGGATCCCTGATGTCTTTTTCGGCTCCACGGCGTCTCGGAGCTTCATGTGTTCCACTACAAACACCACCAGTCGCACTCCTTCCCGAAGCTTTGAAAATTCAGGTTTAAAGCCGCGCCGACCTGCACCGAAAGAAACCAGAAAGACAACCGACAAAACCCAAATCCCCAGCCAAGACTGCTCATATGGTTGTCGCAACAAGTCGCAAAGATACATATATAACATATGTAATCTATCTATCTATCTATCTATCTATCTATATATGTATATATAACTATATATATATATATATGTAGTAAGGGCTTATTGAAGCGACGAAGACCACCAACGCCCCGTCCTTACCGGCCGCCATGGCGCCGAGAAGGTCTGTGCTGGCAGCTGCCATAAGAAGCCAAAGCGAGGCAAAAACTGCACACCTTGGGACTCTTTGGGGGTTGAGGCCTCAAGGTTTCGGGTTTTGGGACTCTTTGGGGGTGGGGGGTTAAAGGGTTTCAGGGTTTAGGGTTCGGGGTGCAGGGCTTGGGCTTGAGGCTGAAGACTTAAGGTCTTGACGTTCACCTCTCAGTCGTCGGGTCCGGTATGGGTTTTCCGATTGCTGGGTTCGGGCCAAGCATTTAAGGTTCGGAGCCTGGTGTTTGATGCATAATGTAAGGGCCTGAACACTTGGAATAGGGTAGTTTTGGGGGTATACGACACATACTAGAATATGATGAGGAACAGTGTCAACAGCCTTCCGGGCGAGATTTTGTTCTGGAGTACTGGGGTTCTGGATAGCAGGGCTTCAAGTCCTGAAGACAAAGTTGGGCTAGGGGTTCGCACAACACTCTGAACGAGCCCTTCGCTGACAGAGGTACAGCTATACCGGCTTTCGACTCGAGAGCATTAGGCGCATTAGGCATTCAGAGACGGTCCAGTTTCCGCCGGATGGTGGGTCCTGAAAACACGAAGAAGCTCCTGTCCAGACGTGAGCCACCGGTAAATCTGAAAGTGCCCGGATCACCACCGCGGTAACACCTAGAATACCTCAACGTCATCCCGAAACAGTAAGCGCACTGTATTCTTTTTTCAGCAATATCAACACATATGTATATATATATATATATATATGTGTGTGTGTGTATGCGCATATATATATATATGTATGGGCCCCAAAATACCAAGCTCCCTGCGCAGAGGCAAGCCGTCGCGGAGCGGAGCAGCGGAGTGGAAGCACCTTGAACAGCTTCGAGCTCGGGCAGGTCCAGAGTCCTTTGAGGATCCTTTAAGGGGTCCTTTAAGGGATCCTTTGGTCGCTCCTGCGTGAGAAGGGTGGGTGGAGCAAGTCCGTGGTGTTGAAAATGATGATGATGGTCATGATGGAATACTGGTGATAACGATGACGGTGATGGTGATGTTGATGATGATGGTGATCGCGGTGATGATGACGACGAGGATGATGATGATGATGATGATGATAACGATGATGATGCTTGTGTTGCTGATTGTGATGAAGATGAAGATGAAGATAAATATAGAGATGATGATGATGATGATCATGATCATGATCATGATCATGATCATGATCATGATCATGATAATGATCATGATCATTATCATGATGATGATGATGGTGATGATGATGATGATGGTGATGATGATGACGATGATGATGGTGATAGCAATGCTGAGGTTTGGGTTGGTGATTGTGATGGTGCTCATGACGGTGATGATGATGGTGATGATGATGATGATGACTATGAAGATACCATGACGAGTAGGAGCAAGGAGTGGTAGTGAATGCGATGATGGAGGAGGCTGCTAGCAACCCAGGTCAACAGAGAACTGTCGAGTAGGGCTGCAGAATCGGAACTTTTCCTCCCACGAACAACCCCGCGCCTTGGGGATGTAGGGCTCTAGAGCCAGAACCTGGCAAATGCATTCGGTGACATAAAGATCAGTGGGGTTCGTTTCCCCATGCCAAGACTTGACTGGAACGCGTTGCGGCACTGCTCAGCATGTTGGCCGTGATTAAGGTTGAAGGCAGGACCGCCGACACGGTCATAGCACAAGACTACGAGGCCTGTTGTCAATCCATACTATAGCCAACAGTACCGTGTAGATATGCTTAGCATGGACAGCGGTCGTTAAACGTGACTAGTCGAACTGGGAGGAGGAGGAAGAGGAGGAGGAGGAGGAGGAAAAGCAGGAGTAAGGGTATTATAGTAAAAGTAGCCGTTAGGCTTTGCCTGAAATGCCGAGAGCCCTCGGAAAACCGAAACCCTGTCCAAGGAGTGTGGATGCTTGAACCTAGAAATATTGGGTTTAGTGCTTGGACATGATGATAAGCGAAAGTCAGTGATTCTTCTTGTGGCTGCCCGACCGACGCCCCAGAGCCGGCAACAAGCCTTCCGGACGCCCTTCAGATAGATTTCGGTTACTTTCCGCCTGGGCAAGATGTAGGCTGTTGGGCTTGGGGAAGTGTTTTGGATTTTCAATAATGTTCGGTTCGAGCTCTTCGGGGATCTCGAAGCAGAAGATTCAGAGCGCAGGCTGCGGAGGTCGGGCTCGGAATCCCCAGAAAGTATCTGACTGATTTTTCAGGGCCTTAAATGGAACAGGGCTTTGGGGTATAACGTGCTAGCTTGAAGTATTTAGGAATAGTGCTATATAGTACATTAATTATGCTGGCCTCGATATTGCGGTACAGGAGAACAGCACAAAATGCATCAACATATCTCTAGATTGGACAGATTTTGAACAACGACTTCTATACATCTACATAATAACCAAATAGTACACCCCCGCGTAGACCCACACGTCTGCCGTTGGGCGACCAGCGATTTGGACAGACTGGCCGTATTGCGGCACTGCTGCAATCGACGACACTACAAGACTTCTTGGCCATCCCCAGTGCCCTGAACAGTGGAACGAGACATGACTGTTTGGGCCCTCTTTGTTGCGAAGGACTCAAGCTGGAAGACTAGAGACCACTCTACCTACAATGGCCCAACGCATCAAAACGCGAAACCCTGATGACTTATGCAACAACATAGCAACACAAGCAGCCGAAACACTTGAGGCAGAACCTGAGACACTCAAACACTAAACTCGAAAATGCCTACAGCCTCCAACTGCCTACAACACCCAGAAAGCTAGAGACATGCGTGAGGACTCTAAGCCACAAAAAACCTAGACAAAGCCCAAAGCTCAATCAATGCATTTGAACACTTTCAATCCTCCAAATACCCCAAGTGAAGCTCAGCCCCCAACAGCCCTTGGCCGACCGGTGCTAGGCCGAGAGATGTCCACATCCTAGCAGCTCCGTAGTCTAGGCATTCACAAACACCGTAGTAGGATGCTCCACTTGCGCTTTTTCAAAATGCCGGTTCTGTAGTGGAGCCTTTCAGCGGGGTCTATATGAATTTCACAGGGTTTCCCTCCATTGTGACCAGTTCGACAGTATGTATGTTAACTTGCTGGCAGTTTATGTAAGTCTCGGAAAGGACTCACACTTGAGGAGAACCCCTACAAAATGGAAGAATGGATAATTACTGGAACTGTAGAAGATGCCGTATAGATGTACCAAAACGAGACCATTAACCCTGACTACACACAACCCCAAACCCCAGCCGAAAACACATTAATTTTGGTAGCATACGAATCAAAAAATGGCATCGAAAAGTCGCAAAGGTTGCCAGACAGCCACTTTTGCAATAGAACCAGGGTTCTACAAGGGTTCCAAGCGCGTTTGTGTGTGTTGAGGCTGCTGAAGGGCTATAAGCGTGTGTACGGAGTTAAGAGTTGGATGCTAACATGCGGAAAGCGGTGCAAAACGGAAGATTCTGCTTGTGACTGCGGTCGGTTTTTGGAAGTAGCACAGTGCGCGGGCTGGCTTCGGAAAATCTGGGAATGGTGTGCTGTCAAACTCTGCGAGCTGGGACACACAGACAACCTGTTGTTGTAGAATGGCAACCATTCAAAACTTGAATGATTCAATGGATTGGCAAACATGCGACGACGACGGCGACAACGAGCAAGGATAATTGCCAGGGACATCGCCCGGGGCATTCGTCCGTCTCGACAGAAATATTTGACTATGACTAAGAAGGAAATGGGTACCATCCGGTGACAAGCACAAACGACAAAAGCAGGACATGGCCGTGCAAACTTAACCTGCTGTCTTATAGAGCGCATATTGATCATGCCAAAAACCTGACTCTGTCCTAAACCCTTATTGACATTATTGGTCTTCCACCCACCTCAAAACCCGGAATACTAAACAAGAAAAACACCGGTCCAATGCCGCGAGAACCTGCTGATCTTGGGGCCCGCACTGCTCGACCGCTGCTGGGATCAGCGTGGTGCTCCCCGCGCTGCTGATGGCGCCTTGGGACGTACTACAGTGCTAGAATCTAGGGATTAGGGTTTAGCTGTTTCTGAATGCATGTAGGGTTTGGGGTTTAGGGTTTACGAAATGTATAGGGGTTATAAGAGCTCAGGATAGTTGTTGAGTGTGTGGTCAGATAGTTTAGGGTTTTGGGCGCCTTGCGACTTCAGAGCTTGGAATGGCGAGTTCAGGATTTCGGTTTAGAACGCCGTGTGACTTTGGGGTTTGGAGTCTATCATTCAGCTCTGTAGTTCCCCCAGATGCCCAGCCTTTGGCAAGCCTTTCCTCTCAACTGACGAGAAGGCTGATGGGTGGTGGGAACTTCCTCAGATTGCAAAGAGGAAACAACAAAAACAGCGGGTTTGCTAAGTTTGTAAGTGCTTCTAGCCTGGCAACCGCAGTGCAAGTCTGATGCTACAACTCGCTCAACAATGCCTCCTTGCTTCTTAATCGCCCTAGGTAAGCCCTGCTGCGCTCAGAACCTGGGAAACCAAGGCCCCTGCTTCCCTCCACCACCTGAGAAGCAGCTGAGCTTTTGTGGCAGGGTTTAGGGTTTAGGGTGTCGCAACAGGGTTTGATGGTGTGTTGTTTTCTGCATTCTGGAGGAATTTGTACAGAATGTAGCAGAGTTCCAGAAGGCTTTGCAGCCTTCTATAGATTCTATAGGGTTTGTATAGGGTGATGCTCCAGATGGCGCTGTCACCGTCGGTGTACGCAAGGGTACGGCTTGGGTTTGGGCTGTTACATATGTAGTTCCAAAGCAGCCCCAGACGTTTCTGCATTGGAGCCTGTCTTTTCGTCACACCGTTCCCTGAGTCACTTCTACTTGGATGTTGGGCTTGGACGGTGCATGGTTGAGGCTGTAAAGGCCCCATCAACTCTGGACAAAAACCTACGGTTTGTGTTTGGAGACGGTGGCAAAGATCATCTTAATACAGGCCGCCACTGATTGGGACTTTTGGAGATGCGGCTCCTTCAACTTGTCA